GTAAACCATTTACCAGTGGTTTTGGCACTGTGAGCAGGTGCCAGGTCGTGCTGAAAAATGAAATCTTCATCTCCATAAAGCTTTTCAGCAGATGGAAGCATGAAGTGCTCCAAAATCTCCTGATAGCTAGCTGCATTGACCCTGCCCTTGATAAAACACAGTGGACCAACACCAGCAGCTGACATGGCACCTCAGTGACTGTGGAAACTTGACACTGGACCTCAAGCAATGTGAATTCTGTGTCTTCTCTCTTCCTCCAGACTCTGGGACCTTGATTTCCAAAGGAAATGCAAAATTTACTGTAATCAGAGAACATAACTTTGGACCACTCAGCAGCAGTCCCAGGCAAGATGCTTCTGACGCAGTCTCTTGTTCAAAAGTGGCTTGACCTGGGGAATGCGGCACCTGTAGCCCATTTCCTGCACACGCCTGTGCACAGTGGCTCTGGATGTTTCTACTCCAGACTCAGTCCACTGCTTCCGCAGGTCCCCCAAGGTCTGGAATCGGCCCTTCTCCACAATCCTCCTCAGGGTCCGGTCACCTCTTCTCGTTGTGCAGCGTTTTCTGCCACACTTTTCCCTTCCCACAGACTTCCCACTGAGGTGTCTTGATACAGCACTCTGGGAACAGCCTGTTCGTTCAGCAATTTCTTTCTGTGTCTTACCCTCTTGCTTGAGGGTGTCAATGATGGCCTTCTGGACAGCAGTCAGGTCGACAGTCTTACCCATGATTGCGGTTTTGAGTAATGAACAAGGCTGGGAGTTTTTAAAAGCCTCAGGAATTTTTTGCAGGTGTTTAGAGTTACGTCGTTGATTCAGATGAATACAGCACCTCAGACTGAGGACGTCTTTGGATGAAAGACAAAACGTTTCTAAATTTTGTTGTTGTTGTTGTTGTTGTTGTTGTTGTTGTTGTTGTTGTTGTTGTGTTTTTTTTTGTTTGTTTTTTTGAATGTCCAGAGGACCAGATTTAACTTTTTAAGATTGTTCTACCTGGATTATTGAGCATGGATCAGGAAACCCCTCAAATTGTCTTCGTGTTCAGATTTGAGTTTTAAATGAGATCCCGTCATTTCAGTGCATATTTGCCAACACAGAAAGAATTTTAAAACTTTTATTAAAACGTCTACCAGACTTGACTGCTTTGCGTCTCCAATGCCCGACCAGTTGATGCCAAGCTTACGGGCGGCATCTGTGTTTTCCTCCTTGAAAGCAGATCACTTTTAACATGAAAGTTTCATCATAAGAAATTCTCTGTGTGTTTTCCATTATTGCTGAACAAATGAACAGGTCTGTGCATGAAGCGCAAAATGCGGTAACAACACGGGAACGATCTGAATGCTTGTCTGTCTTGGGGGATGGTTTCTAGAGTTCTCGTTGGGCCTAGGACCTCATTGGTCATTCATGTTAGACTTCTGGTCACATGATGACAGAGTGGGTGGAGTTATGGTTGGGTATTTGAAACCGTAATCAAGAGCCTTTGTGCATCTGATTACCTGAGGGCATTCTCTCTGTGTCACAAACGCCTGCCCCGAAGCGTGGCCGGGTGCTGGCAGCCACGAGCACCCAGCTCTGTCAAAGGAAAATGTTGGTCAGTGGCAGGAAATTACTGAGAGACGGCAGGAAGTCTGTCAAGATGAAATAGAAAAATTTAGTTTTTGAAAATCATGAAAAATTGAAAAATATACATAAATAAGACGTTCCTGCTTATAAACCGCGGGGTACAAAGTGTGAGAAAAAAGTAGCGGCTTGTTCACCAGCAATTACATTATATTCTGTGAAACTCCGTCTGGAGGCTGATTCTTGAACTACAACAAGAAAGCTGCACACTGTCGGAGCAGGTTGGGCACAGTTCCTGACGATGAACGGTGGATGCTCGCAGCTAAATAACCGGAGTACCTTATGTACAAAATTACGATTTATCTTATATTTAATATTCAATTCTATTCAAAAATACTTTATTAATCCCAAAAGGAAATTATTTGTTGTTGTAATTCATCCTCATTTCATTAAGAGATGTTATAGATACTGATGGCTGTAGGCAGGAAGGATCTCTTGTAAAGGTCCATCCCACAGTGGATACTAAGAAACTGGCCGCAGATACCGTTAGATCCGTCCACCTAGTCTCGGCTGGCCTCTCGGTTCCCCCGGGCTGTAGGACCGCCCGAATGCTGGGCAGAACTCCTCCCAGAGCGATGACCACTCCTCCCAGCAGTCTGCCGAGCTCCTCGTCACTGCGGCCAGCCAACTGTAGGTGCCGAGGGACGATCCTGTCCTTCCGCTGTCATGAGCGGTGTTTCCTGCTAGTTCCAGGATCTCAGTAGTCAGGCACTCGAGCACAGCTGGCAGGTAGATGAGAATGCATCCACAGAACATCTTTTCAACTCATTTGAGATTGGGGGCTGTAGCGGAGATATTATTTGAGCTTTTGAGATGTTAATCAGCTGCTGTTGGTTGTAGAAAACTGCCTTGTTGCCATGGTTACGCATCATAACAAATATCTTAAACTAAAAAAGTTTCAGTAAAAATCCTTCCAGCTGCACAGCATCTGATACCAGAGGAAACAATCATCCAAAAAATGAGGAATTAAAGTTTTCAAAAGGAAAATCTCAGAATGAAAGTAACAGAGCTGCTCCAACATGCAGCCACCTTGAGAGGCGCAATTCTAGAACTCTAGAATATGTGCAGCTTAGAGACAGATGTGTTCTGTAGTCCAAGAATTATGGTAGTTTAAAGTAGCGGAATACAGTAATACCTCAAATCTGAAAATAGCAGAAAAGTACTTAGAAGCAAAAATTAGAAGAACAGTAGCTGAAAGTGTCAGAAGGTTGGCTAACAGCTAAAATTATCTAAATTAAACGGGACAACAGTTGAAATGCTGACTCAGCCTGAACACGATTGATTCTGAAGTTTTGACACACATTTTTCATCATTTTTGCTAATTTTGTTTTCTGTGTTAACAGGAGGAAGCCTGAAGCGGGTCGGCCTGAGGCGGGTCAGCCTGTAACTTTGCCTCCGCCTCGAAGACTGAACTTCAACATCTCGCCTGAAGTGCAGAAGGACATCGATGAGGCGGAACGCAGTGTGAACAGGTGAGATCAGCGGGTTTTAAAGCCTGTTGTGGATCGTCCAGACCGGCTCTGATTATCCTGTTGTTCTGCACCTTCAGACTGGCCCAGGACCTGGAGATGAAGGTCAAAGTGTTCCAACACTTTGGAAAAAACCTCCCAAAAACATTCAAAATGAGTCCTGATGCCTTTATCCAGATCGCCCTACAGCTGGCCTACTACAGGTGAGATCTTGAACCTTCCTGCTCAGAGCTTTGACCTTTTTAAAGATGGTTGCTGCTGCAGGTGAGACATACCTCTGTGCATATGTGGCCTTGGCCACATATGCACAGAAGATCGAGGGTCAATTCATCTCACAAGAGCCTCGGAGCATGTGGAGGGGCATTAAGTGCATAACAGATTATAAAGGAAGGAGCAAACAATGCCCCAAAGACCCATCTCTGCCTGATGCCCTCAACAAGTTCTATGCACGCTTTGAAGACCCGAGCAGACCACCCAGCACCAGACTCACCTCACCGCCGGATGAAGAGCATCTCAGCGTGACCTCAGCAGAAGTAAGGAGTACCTTCAGGAGGATTAATCCGCACAAAGCAACTGGCCCAGACAACATCCCCGGAAAAGTGTTGAAGGAATGTGCTGATCAGCTCTGGGAGGTGCTGGCAGACATCTTTAAGACCTCACTTACCCTGGAGACAGTTCCCACCTGCCTGAAGACTGCCACCATCATCCCAGTCCCAAAAAGCTCTACAATGACTGGTCTGAATGACTATCGGCCAGTGGCCCTCACCCCGATAGTCGCTAAATGCTTCGAAAAACTGGTCATGACTCACATCAAAACAACCATCAACATCAACGAGGACCCTCATCAGTATGCATACCGTGAGAACCGATCAACAGAGGATGCCATCTCCTCTGTGGTCCACACTGCGCTCAACCACCTGGAGCAGAAAAACTCTTACGTCCGTATACTCTTTGTGGACTTCACATCCGCCTTCAACACCATGATCCCCCAAACCCTGATGGACAAACTATCCACACTAGGACTAAGCCTCTCCATTTGCAACTGGGTACTAGACTTTTTAACAAACAGACCACAGTTAGTGAGGATCCACAACTTCTCCTCCTCCACCATAACCCTCAGCACTGGCTCTCCTCAGGGATGTGTGTTGAGCCCCCTCCTGTTTACTCTGCTCACGTATGATTGTGCAGCTACCCATCCAGGCTGTCACATTGTAAAGTTTACAGATGATACAGCGGTGGTGGGATGCATCACAAACAATGATGAGTCCAGCTACAGGCAAGAGGTGGAACACCTGGAGAGCTGGTGCAAAGAGAATAACCTTCACATCAATGTGAAGAAGACAAAGGAGATGATCGTGGACTTCAGAAGGAACAAAAACATCTACACCCCCGTGAACATAAGAGGATCTGCGGTGGAAGTGGTCTCCAGCTACAAGTACTTGGGTGTACACATGAATGACAACCTCAGCTGGAGCAACAACACCACCAGCCTAATCAAGAAAGCTCATCAGAGACTCTACTTCCTCAGACGGCTGAGGCGAGCTGGTCTGGGAAGCTCAGTCCTCACCTCCTTCTACAGGTGTGCAGTGGAGAGCATCCTGTGCTCCAGCATCAACTTGTGGCATGGAGGCTGCACAGCTGCAGAAAGAAAAGCTTTGCAGAGAGTGGTGAAGGCTGCACAGAAGTCTGTCGGAGTCAGCCTCCCCACCATCGCAGACATCTACACCTCTAGATGCAGGAAGAGGGCTACCTGCATCATGAAGGACCTCACTCACCCAGCACACACACTTTTTGCCCCACTCCCCTCAGGAAGGAGGTTGAGGAGCATTAAGTGTAGAACCACTAGACTGAGGAACAGCTTCTACTCTGAGGCTGTTAGACTCATGAATCTCTAACTAGAATAATCACTGTGAAAAACCACATCATGTTGCTGCTGATCTGTTTCAATGTTGATGTGTTCATGCGTGCTCATCCGCTCACACAGACTCATGTTCATGTTTGTTCTGATGTTCAATGTTTTTATGTTATGAGTGCTTAGTGTATATTTAGTTGATGTTTTTCTTAGTTCATGTCTTAGATGTTATTACTGTTTTTCTTGTACATTTTATTGTTGGATGTAACTGGGACCCCGTGTACATAATTTCGCTCCACCACATGTACCACATGAGGTGCGAATGACAATAAAGAAACTCTGACTCTGATACCTGTCCTGTGTTCGTTTCCTCTTTTGAACTGTTGTGTTTTAAGGAGATGGAAAGATTGTTAAGTCTAGCGTTATGTCGGGTTTTATTTCTGTTTGTTAAAAACTTTACAGAGCAGGAGTTTTTATCACTTTCTTTTTCAGGGTTAGTTGTCTGAAATCACAGCTGAGAAGATTTTCATTGTTGCTCTTCAGGACTTTCATTAATTCAGTTGAGGTGTCGTATAGAAGTTTCTGGTGTTTTTGTCAAACTAAATTAGCTGAACTCAAAGTTAAATCAGGTCCTCTGGATGTTTTCTTTTTGTTGAAACGTTTAGTCTTTCATCCAAAAGACTTCTTATAAATAGCACCTTCAGCATGGGTGGCTGTGGCTGAGTGGCTAGAGCAGTCTTCCTCCAATGCAAGAGTTGGGGGTTCGATTCCATCAGCAGTTACATACACAAGTGTCCCTGGGCAAGACACTGAACCCCTCATTGCCTCCGATGTGTGTCACATCGGTGTATGAATGTGATAAAGCTCTGATTATTCTTTGTAGAGATATAGAAGAGTACTGTATGAATGGGTAAATGAGGGCACAGATTGTAGTGTAAAGCGCTTTGAGTGTCTTGATAAGATAGAAAAGTGCTGTATAAGTACAGTCCATTTACCATTTACCATTCCATTTACATAATGGATCAACCAGTTTGACCAGGCCATGGCTGCCTCAGACGAGTCAGCGGCGGAGAGGGTGGACACCTGAAACCATCTGAGCACCATCGGACTGAAGAAGTCTTTTTGATAAAAGACAAAATGTTTCAACAAAATGAAACTGTCCATACAACCTGATTTAACTTTGTTGGATTTTCTACCTGGATTATTGAGCATGAATCAAATCAAATCAGCTGAATTTTAGTGGAAAGCAGGCAGAGTGTTGACGGTTTAAGCTGTGGAAACACATCCTGCCTCATTTAAAGACATCTGCAGACTCTGATTTAAGAATTATTTCTTAAGTGAATATAATAAAAGCTGATTCTGGTTCCAGCTGTGAGTGTGTTTGAGTAAAAATAAAGATCAGACGACGGGACTTCCGGTTTGGATAATGGTGGAGTAGGTAGTGAGCTGGAAGAGCTCTGTGGAAATCATACAAAACATTAAAAAAAAAAAACTGGTGAAAAGTATTCTGCAAGCCCTAAACACCAAACTTGCTAAAATGGGTAAGACAACGAAAAGCCCACCCAAACATTTGAAGAATCTGTTGAGAAGGAAAACCTCCAAACAACACAGGCTGGCCAAATACCTGACAGCACTACCCAACACTGGGGCCCAGCTGACACGGGCTGACATGGAGGTGATGCTACAGGGCCTGGGAAAAGGATCATTTCAAAACTACCTGTGCAATCCTTAGTGGACCAGGCATTACTCAAACAGCATGATACAACAATTCAACAACTTGAGACATCAACAAACAACATGCAAAGTAGAGTGCTGGAGCTCGAAACCACCTGTAGCATGCTGATGAAGGAAAACGAGATGCCATCCATCCATCCATCCATTTTCTTCCGCTTATCCGGGGTCGGGTCGCGGGGGTAGCAGCCTAAGTAGGGAGGCCCAGACTTCCCTCTCCCCAGCCACTTGGGCCAGCTCTTCCGGGGGAATCCCGAGGCGTTCCCAGGCCAGCCAAGAAACACAGTCCCTCCAGCGTGGCCTGGGTCTTCCTCTGGGCCTCCTTCCGGTGGGACGTGTCCGGAACACCTCACTAGGGAGGCGTCCAGAAGGCATCCTAAACAGATGCCCAAGCCACCTCAACTGGCTCCTCTCGACATGGAGAAGCAGCGGCTCTACTCTTTAAGTCCCTCCCGGATGATCGAGCTTCTCACCCTGTCTCTAAGGGAGATCCCAGACACCCTGCGGAGAAAACTCATTTTGGCCGCTTGTATCCGAGATCTCATTCTTTCGGTCACAACCCAAAGCTCGTGACCATAGATGAGGGTGGGAACGTAGATCGATGGGTAAATTGAGAGCTTCGCCTTTTGACTCGGCTCTCTCTTCACCACGACAGACCTGTACAGAGCCCGCTTCACTGCAGACGCTGCACCTATCCGCCTATCGATCTCACGCTCCATTTTTCCCTCATTCGTGAACAAGACCCCAAGATACTTGAACTCCTCCACTTGGGGTAGGACCTCCTCCCTGACCCGGAGAGGGCACTCTACCCTTTTCCGGCTCAAGACCATGGCCTTGGATTTGGAGGAACTGATCTTCATCCCGGCCGCGTCGCATTCGGCTGCGAACCGCTCCAGCGAAAGTTGTAGATCACGATCTGATGAAGCCAATAAGACCACATCATCTGCAAAAAGCAGAGACGCAATCCTAAGGCCACCAAAACGGATCCCCTCAACACCTTGGCTGCGCCTAGAAATTCTGTCCATAAAAGTTATGAACAGAATCGGTGACAAAGGGCAACCTTGGCGGAGTCCAACTCTCACTGGGAACAAGCCCGACTTACTGCTGGTGATGCGGACCAGGCTCTGACACCGGTCATACAGGGACCTAACAGCCCATATGAAAGGGCCCGGTACCCCATACTCCCAGAATACCCCCCACAGGGCCCCCCGAGGGACGCGGTCGAACACCTTCTCCAAGTCCACAAAGCACATGTAGACTGGTTGGGCAAACTCCCACGCACCCTCCAGGACCCTGCTGAGAGTGTAGAGCTGGTCCAGTGTTCCACGGCCAGGACGAAAACCGCACTGCTCCTCCTGAATCCAAGGTTCGACTATCCGACGGACCCTCCTCTCAAGAACCCCCGAATAGACCTTACCAGGGAGGCTTAAGAGCGTGATCCCCCTGTAGTTGAAACACACTCTACGGTCCCCCTTTTTGAATAGGGGGACCACCACCCCAGTCTGCCAATCCAGGGGAACTTCCCCCGATGTCCACGCAATATTGCAGAGTCGCGTAAGCCAACACAACCCTACAACATCCAAAGCCTTAAGGAACTCTGGGCGAATCTCATCCACCCCT